CATAGAACATTACGGAATTTAGAATAAGAGCAGATCAATCATGTGACTCTAGGTTGTGATAATATGATGCTCTTGGCAAATTTGAAAGCATATTTTATAATTTTTAAAGTATCTGTAAAGTTTTTTTTTTATAAGGTTAATACTAATAATTCATTGATCTTTTTATTCTTTGAGTAAATAATCGAGAAGTACTACTATTTAAACATAGTCCATAGCCTGGTTTGTTTTTTCTTTTTCCGACTAATTATAACTTTTACCTTATAAATACGTTTATTAAACTATTAGTCATACTCGAAATTTGTTATGAATCTCTTTCCGTAATCCACACGAAAACCCCAACAAATAGCTAATAAAAAACAATACATTGTTACTTAAGTCATAAATAAAACTTTGAGTTAAGCATTTACTTAACTAAATTATGTTTAACAATATAAAAATTAAAAAAAAAAACAGAATAAGAAGTCAACGTTTGGGACACTCTGACAAAGCAATGGAGAGCAATTGCATTGATAAGGCATGATATGAAATTCCCGCTGTTAACACGAAAGCGTAACCATAAAATTACATTTCCTCAGTCGAAAGCTTAACAGAGCTTTCTCACTGTTATCAGCCTGCTAATTTGCATACACATATAAACACTACAGAATTTATACGTTAGGCAGAGAAAATCTAAATAAATTGCAACGGAAAAAAATATCTAAGTGCAAAATATAAAGAATAAATTTGACTGCGAAAATGTGTTTCCTTTGATACTTTTTACCCTACTTGACACGAAAGCGATAAAATCGAAACTCCCTCGAATATATAAGTTGATACACTAAAACGCCTCGCTTAACATTATGTAAAGAAAATACATGTGTGCGGCTGTCTGTCTAGCACAGAGTGTATCTGAGTGTGTCTGTCTGTCTGTGTGTGTGTCGCATGGGTGCAATTTTTAAGTGGCTTAAATACGTAAAACGCTAAGTTGAATGTGTCACCCGGAGCGCGATATACGCAAATTTCGACTCTATCCGTAACAATAAATGGCAACACTAAACGCTACCATTGAAGACAATGTAGCAGCAAATAGACTGCCTGGAAGTAGCGAGTGAAATGGGTTTGCAGCGAGGGAACAAGCAGCGAAGAGAAGAAAAAAATAAAATTGAAAAAAAAATTGCAGAAAAGTGGAAAAAAATTGTAAGGATGAAAATCAAATCAGACATTTCAATCTTTTTTAAAATTTTTTCTTTTTTTGCTCCACGTCTTTGGCGAATTTTATCGAAATTTCCAATAGGTTTGTGGCACGCAATATGCTAATGAGGCGCAAAGCTGTTATGCGAAAATTGAGTAGCTACGAGGATTGGTAGGATAAAATGTGGAAAACGGATGAAGCGAAGAAGTATGGTTGTGTGAGCTATACTGAAAGAAAGAAAAAACGACATTACGCGGAGTTTCAAATTGAAAATGTATCCTTTTTTGCAACTTCTTACCTTTAACGCTTAACCACACTAAAGCAGCTAGAATGCCACATAAAGTCAAGGGAATTGAATCCTTTTTGCGCTACGAATACGAGTACTGTTACTCTTTAACGTTTCTGCAAGTTGTTGAACTTTGCATGCATTGTGCATGCATTGTTGTTAATTTAAATAAAAAAAAAATAAGTAAAAAATTAAATGCGAAAAAATAAGAAATATTTTGTCATAAATTTTAAATGTTTATGTTTGAAATGTAAATAAAATTAAAATAAAAATAAAATAATAAAAAATGCAGTGCAACTAAAATGACGAAGGGAAACTTGTTGAAATGCTCATAAAATGAATTAAACGGCGGCAAATTTAAAATTTAATAAAATTAAAATATGCAGCCAAAATTGTTTATATGTTTTGTAGCAAAAAATGCAATTTAGTCAGTTTAGTCCACTTCTTTTTTTTTGGCTTCCACTCACTCGTACTTTGTGGATAGCAAATAGTGTGCCGCGTACCAGATATGAGTTGCACAAATTGCATTTCTGTTAGATTGATGTTGCAAATTTGCATAATAATGTTATTGTTATTACCACTGTTGTTGTAGTGTTGGCAGCTGTTATTATTATTGTTGTTGTTGTTAACCATGTTAGGAAGTAGTTAGGTTTTTTAATTAAAATTTACAAATTCAGCTAAAAAATGAATGAAATCCTTTCATTAAATTCACTTGAGTGAACGTTTGTTAACATACTTTTTTAATACAGCAGAAATTATATTTTATGAATATATTAGTTTTTATTTAAGTATATATACATATATATTTGTTGAAGCAATTTCATTCATTACTTACTTACATTCATACTACTTAAATTGAATAGTTTTATTAAAGACAGTATATAACCAAAGCTATAACGAGATACGCATCAACTTAATCACTTAAGATAATAAAATTATTCTATTATTTATAGCTAGTTGTATATATGTATATATGTAAATATTTAACTATTACAAAGGATTTCATACCAACTAAATCCTCAAAAACTATTTTTAATATTGAAAATATTAATGATTAGGTTTTCTGTAGAAGTTTATAGGCTCAATTGCACTTTTATTCGTCACTTCCCTTATTACTATTTTGCTATTGACACTATCTTTGCTGTCTATTTTAATACAAATTTTATTTCATTTTATTAAATCTTAATGTCTTTAATGTACATTTTTTCTTGCCGATAGTGCCGTGTCTTTATGGCAAAAGAAACTACTTAAAAGTTAGACGGATTCGAATAGCACAGAAAGAAAGGATAAAGACAAAAATTTATTTAGTTTATTGAAATTTGGCTGACTATACAACGCTGTTTCGAGTATTGCCAAGTACTCTTCATCAGTGGTCTTAGGAAATAATCGACTTTTTATTTAATTAGTTTATAGTCCGTATATAATTTGTTTGGACTTCAAGTGCCAGGCTTAGAACTCGTGCCTGTCAAATTAGAAGCGATGACTTGTGTTTATCCACAAGTAGCCAAGGCAATATATTATTATATTACTTTTAATATATCATAGCATAATCATAAAATAGGTATATGATAAAACATCACAGCACAGCAGATATCACCACTGTATTAAGTTATTGAATCTACCTCTGTCATTTAATTATAACTTTTCTTATCATTATAGTTATAATAGTTATATGAGCTCAAACATAAACTTCCCTAAATATTAGGTCCATAGTTGCACTATCTTACTCTTCCTATAGTAACTTAAGAATTTCTTTCACTTCGGCTGCATTCAGAAAGTTTTTAATAGTTTTTAAATCAATTTTTGATCACACTGATAAACAGATCAATTATTTTTAGAGAACATTTTCATTTTATATATAAAATTTATTAATATCTTAATTATTATAGATAAACGGACTGGAACGATCTATTGTATTTCGCCCTTCCTATAGTAATTAAAGGATTTCTTTCACTTTGGTTATATCCAAAAAGGTTTTAATTAATTCTTATTCAATGTTTATATTCCAGTAAAAATTTGTTTACTGGGTCCATAAACGATCTATTGTATTTCGCCCTTCCTATAGTAATTAAAGGATTTCTTTCACTTCGGTTATATCCAAAAAGGTTTTAATTAATTCTAATACAATGTTTGACCATTAATTCAAAAATAAATTAAAGTCTTTAAAAACTTACACCGTTCGAACTCCAACTCTAACAGACCCTGGCAATGCGTCCATTTTTTAACTATATTATATCTTGCCCTTACTGTAATCACTGAAAGCCGTCTTTCGCTTCCACTATATCTATATTCATACTATATTCTATACTATATTCATAGATCACTTAAATCGCTTCTTCTATAATGTATATGTATATCAGTGACGATTGCTCTAAGGTGCGGAGGTGTGCGGTGAACACCCTAACATAATTTGCAAAATGTCAAAAACTCAATCAATTTGCTTCTGTTAGCCGCTATACTTGTTAGTTGTGCTCATATATTTGCAGCTCAAATCACAGAACATTTCTATTATATTTCGTCTCTCCCCTTTGTGTGCAAAGAAGTTGGTCGCACATTCATACGTTGCATATGAACAAAATAATGTGCGTGTACTCCCGTTCATAATATCAAAAATAGAGATTTATATAGTGGGTATTGTATGAGAGTAATTTTTTGTTCTACTCGAATATCAACTGCACACATACGAATCCAACATGATGATTTGCCAAAGTGGTTGCATGAGCGGCTGAAGTTTGCAGCTCATCTCAGCATACATTTCTATCACATTTCGTCTCTCCCCTTTTAACAGTAGCACCCACGAATTTCTGTTCTTACACATTTGTACGTTGCAAGTGGGTTTGATTTTGTTTGATCACTGGATAAACATGTATGGTTCTGAGTTAAAACTCTTTTGTTTGAAAAAAGTTGGTTTGATGTTACTAGTATATGAAAAGTTTTGTTTCTTCCATATTGATATAATATTAAATTTATATATAAATTATTAATTTAATTTGTTTAATATGTTCTTTTGTTAATGAATTGTTAATATAATATTGCGACTATATTATTGCCTTATATAATATAGTTATTATTAATAAAAGATCTCATATATTTTAATATAAGTGGTACATGTAAAAACAACATTAAAGAAGGGCCGCACACCCTTCCAGATAGAGCACGCGTCGTCACTGATGTATATGGGCTAGGTATTCGCTAAGGTTATGTACGGCTGTTTCTATGTCTCCCAAATATAACCTGCATTTGTCGGTCTCTTATAATTTTACACGTAATTTAAGTTTATTAAAATGGCAATGACCAGTTATCACTCCAATGACTATTTTTTAATCCAATCTGTTCAGACTTAGATTAGAGTATTTTCGATAGAAGAACTTGATGCATTAGGATCCGCCCACATTAGACCATGGGAGATTTAGTTTTATGTGCACATATATTTGGTTAAATATCTATGTATATCTTATGTATAACCTTTATTGGAAAAAATATGTAATTTATAAAATATTTTTAAAATATATATAAAAGTTTTAAAGTAAACACTTTTTTCTATATTTGGCATTATATATAGTTTATTGCTTCGATATGAATATGGCACTATGGAATATATTGTAACTGAGATTTGTGTAAGTTGCTTAATAATTTTCTATTATATTTCCAATTACAGTAAATGAAAGAACTTTAATCAATCAGCATTACGTCAAGAAAATCTTTATAGTTTATTAGTCCATCGCCATCAGTATCTACTTCAAGCATCATTTCGTTTATTTCTTCATCAGTTATATTCTCACCTAAATTGATTAATACGTGTTTTATCTCATCATGTGATATACCGCCAGTTTCATCTCTATTAAATACTACAAATGCTTCATAAATCTCCTTCTCTGTAATTTTTGCCATTATTTTACTTCCCATCACACGAATGAATTCCCTGAAATTTATCCCGTCCTTTTTATCCTTGAGCATTTTATTTATCACTCTTTGCAACTCTGCCTCTGTAGCATTGTGACCTATACTACGCATAACTAGAGCTAACTCTTTACTTGAAATGAATCCATCGCCATTCAAATCATAAACATCAAATGCTTCCTGAAACTCTGCTAGTTGTTCGTCTGTTAAACGGTGATGTGACATTGTGTTCGATTAGTTTTGTATTGTCTTTTTGGAATCCAGAGAGGAGTTGAAGCTATATGCTATTCAGAAAGTTTTCGACATAATATCGGACTGAAATTTTGCAGAACTTAGGTGATGTAAGTATAGCGATGGATCGGTTTTTGTAGGCCAGAATGGAATTGGTTATGTATGAGACTCAAAAAATTTTATAACATGTTGGCAAACTGAAATTTTGTTGGACCGAAAATATTTGAACTATTGTAGTATTAATGATTTTTTTTCTGATATTAGAAATTTTTGTTTAAAATTTTATTTTACTTTAATAATATTTGAAAGTAAAAAAATTTGAAAGCAAAAAAGATTACTGTGATTTGAATAACCTAACCTATTTTAACCTATCTCTCATTCTTATTCTCAATTTTTTAATTAACATTTTAATATTAGAGACTTAATTGATATATTTTCATATATAAATAAGATAATTAAGTATTATGAAAGTAAGGTTACCTTCAACTTGTGGGAACACTACTGGGAACGCCTTCAATTTCTCAAAGATCTTGTTGAAAGAAGGTGTACTTAAAATACTTAAGAACTATAAAGGAAACGAGAAAGCCGATAAACTAGACAGAAAATGGGTGACCTAATATTATACTGAACCAAGATCATTCTGCGGTCCTTCAAGAAGCTTTTTGAACCTTACAATTACTGAATGGCTGGAAAAAGTAAATAAGAATGATTGGGATAATGTGATTGTCTGCAGACAACATAAAGGATGCCAAATCGATCAAACGCCAGTATAAAGTCACTATTAATGCTGAACAGAAAAGGTATCTGACTTGTCACAAGGTTTATCACTAGACATTGCGAAGTCAAAAAACATCTATCGAATCAATGTATTCCAAAAGACAATAGCTGCTTATTTTGTCACGAAGAAGAGAAAATAGTAGAACACAATCTATGTCACTGTGATAGATTCGTCAGACTCAGACTTTGGTATTTATCAACTGTCTATCCACTTACAATGGAAATAGCAAAGAAAAAAGTGTACGCGCCTATGGAACTTAAGTAGGTTTATCACAATAATACTTGAAAAATGCAGTAATGTGGTGACATACTAAACCTTTCTAAATTTATACTAATCTAATCTTAGGCTACCTAGTTGCATTATTACAGATAAGGATGACCATACCACAAACCTAAAAACAACAACAACTTCCAATTTGACATAAATTTGTGTATTATCTGTCTCGAAGATAGGGAGGCATGCTATGAGACTTATTCTTCCTTACAATGACCTTTGTCGTGGCTCTGAAGACAAGTAGGAAACTGTGTTCCATCTAATGTGTCAATGCTTATCTTTAGCTAGAAGAAGATCAAAAATATTGGGGGCCCCTTTTCTAACCGATCTGATTGGGTCCTGATCATATTCATAAAATTGTCTGGTTGGTTTTCCTTCACCTAAATCGGGAAGTCGTTGCCTTTTTCGACTTTGGTCGTATACTGATCACCTTGTCTATGTACGAACCAATGCTATTCCGGGCCATTATTTGAGCTCAAGTGGGATTTCTTCGTATACAAGGCAACCACTCCAACCTTACTCAACTTAACCTGTCCCAAAGATTATTCAAAATTCAATGATTGTGGAACAAATAGCACTTCTTTTGGTATTTTCGAGTAAGAATCTTTTATAATTTTTTTACATAGAGAATTTCTTATGTCCTTCAAAACACAACTCCATTTAATTTTAAAGACAATATCAAATTATAATAAATTTCTTTGAGTTAAAGTACGTTACATACGTTTTGCCGACACATAAAGTGCTTCCTTTTAATTAATAAATTTGTTCCACATTTTGCTAGTCTAGGTATCTGCCTCTAACGTCTGCAATTAATTTCCTTTCATCTTGAATCTTCAAAGCTAAGCAAAAGTAAAATGTTACCGGTTAATGTAGGAAGAAAATAGAAAAAAAATGTTAAAATTTCATAATACGTAGGTATTTTCTAATGAGAATATTAGGGATAAAGTGTCAGTAACACAAGATAACCGAAAGAAATACCTACGCTGGAGTCGTGCTTTTTAACAGACAAGTACAAGGAGAAGTTGCAATAATTGAAACATAAGTAATGATTCTGTAATTTGAGGCACAAAAACCACACAAACTTAAGCCGCAAATGTACTGTAAATAACATACAAACCTACTATGTGCTGTGCGTAGAGTTATCGGAGTTGTGTATGTATGTGTGTGTGTGTGAGTATGTTAACAGGCAAGTTACATTACTTAAACGTTCAACATGTGTGCATAACAATGCCCTTATGTAAATGACTGCAATGCTAGTTGTGTGTATGTGCATACACTAACTTGTATGTGTTAGTGTATGTGCATAAGCGTCACTGCTGCTAACATATTAACAACATGCTGCTGGGTATGCTGTGTGCTATTGTGAATTAAATGAATCTTTAGCTGTGCGGCTTTGTGTTACCATTGCTCTGTTGCTGTTCTTACGGCCGCTGTTATTGCTGTGATGCTGTGACAAGACTACATGTAGTAAAATGCGTGTTGTAGTAGTTGTAATTTCATTAATTACTTTTGGTGCAACACAAAAAAAAGCGATTTTTTTAACAAAAGCAGTTATTTAAAAAGATTTCTATTTATTCAGAAGTTAAGAAAGAATATGAAAAAAAAAATTAAATTTAAATGTTAAAGCGAATCAAAGGAATGAAAAAAAAGAAAATTCATGTGCAAATGTGTGATGTTTTCAAAGAAAAGCCGTACAAAGCCATACTCTTTCGTATGTGCCAAATGCACAGGCACATCTCCACATCCACACATCCACCCTATACCCACATTTCACTGCCAGCAGCAAGATATGCTAAAATGTGTGGATGTTTTTTGCTTTTGTAAAAGGCACGTGCTGATATGTATTTTGCACTCCCCCAAGTGCGACTTTTTGTAAAATTGCGCAATTACGGAATTTTCAAAAAGTTCTGTGGGAATTTTTCATAACAAAGAAACGTGCAACACTTGCCACTTACTCACTTATGTGCTTCTAAGTGATACCCTTTGTTTTGTGTGTTTTTAAGTGAGCATGTGAATGTTAGTCTGAGTCTGAGTAAGAGTATGAGTGTGTGTGTGTATGTATAGAACTTGGCTATTCAAAAGTGCAAAAGAATATAGAAAAACATATGCGAACTCTACGTGAATAACTACAAATGCTCAGCATTTTTGTGTAGTTCTATAGATACTCGGCTTTCTGTGTCTTTTTGTTTTTTTTTTTTTTGAATGGATATATCTTAAGGCGATTTAGAGCATGTTTTCTGTATTTTCAACATACAAGTTCTGTCGAGCAGCAAGTGTTGCTTAATATACAATACATAAAGCAGTGGCGTACAAAGTGTCAAGTTGTGTGAACTGCGGGCAAAGGATGCAACAACTTTAATAGCGCCGTGAGGTGGAAATTTTTATTTTTTTTGTTTTTTAGAGTAAAATTCAGGATAATGAGTCTGGCTTCGATATTTGCATATATTAATAGAAATGAAATAATTTTTTTTTTGAACTTTGAGGATTTATAAAAAGTATTTGACATTTGTGTGCATTTCCAACAAGACAGTGAAGTTAATGAGAATTATAAAACTATGAATTTTATAAAAACTCATTATTGCCTGAAAAGTCTAATAATATGCTAGTGCTATAGAACTATATTACACAAGAAATCATAGTTCCATGATATTTTGCATCATTATAATTTTCAATGTAAATAAAAAAATTGGAATTAGAGAAAGAGAGAAACTGCAAATTTTATATATAGGTATTCATAATTGCCTGAAAAGTCTTATAATATGTCGATTTCTAAAGGACATGTTACACAGGAAAACATAGTTCTATCAAATTTGGATTCATTATTTTCAATGTAAATAAAAAAATTGGAATTAGAGAAAGAGAGAAACTATAAATTTCATAGATATTCTTAATTGCCTGAAAAGTCTTATAATATGCCGATTGCTAAAGGACATGTTACACAGAGAATCACAGTTCCATCAAATTTGGATTCGTTATTTTCAATGTAAATAAAAAAAATTGGAATTAGAAAAAGAGAGAAATGTCAAATTGAATATATGTGACTCTACACGTTGTTCAAAATAATGTAGCCCAGCTATAAATTCAGGGTTTGGGCCAGTTACGAGTAAATATGTGTATTTTTGTGTAGATATGTACACATATTCACACAAAAATAATTATCTTTTGAATGAAAACCTAAAAAAACCTACTAAAATAGGTATTGTGAAGATGGTAACCTAACGATTGTGATATGGGTCTCTGTATAAGAAGCCTTTTGGTCATGACCAAAATAGCGTAAAATGACGTGATCATTTGTCATATGACTGTTTGTGTAACATGGCCAGAAGCATTATTAAAAAACAATATAAATTTTTGGAACCTATATGTAACAATTCAATATATGTTGACTCCTAACGCATTGAAAGCAGATCTGACAGTTCCTTGAAAAGTCAAGTCCTTATCACTTTCTCTCATTAGAAAGGCTGCTTAACTGTCTTTACAAAATGTTATTCATTTATTCAACACGTGTAATTAAAATCTATAAAAGTATTTAAGACTATTTCTGCCTGATCCTCTTGGAATTAGTTCAACTCGAGCTATAATCTCTATTTAGTTATGACTTTAATATGAAAATTAAATGTTTTTAAATTTAATTTAATTTTAATTATATTTTAAATTCTTATAAGTTAAGTGTACCTGTCTGCCTTTTCAGATATTCTTGCCATACATAAACACGTGACTTCGTGCCATTTTCGCTATTGAGTCATAACATAAAGGACTTAATACTCAAATGGCTGGAGTAAGAAGGATGAATTACGAATGTCTTTGAGTACATAAATACATATCATTATATAAATAAATGGTCTCATAAAATAGCTGTTTACGCATAAAAATATATAACAAAAATGTTGCTTTAAAAAATATTTATACGTTATATAAAAAATAAAAGAATATTGAATATAAATGTTAGGGTATTTTTTAGCAGATGGTGTTTTCAATATGGCAACACTCGAAAGGTTTACCATTTATCGAAAAGCTGTTAGCATATTATATTATATAATTGTTTGGTCAAATTTCATATAAAGCCTTACTTCCGAGCAACGTTCATACTTTGTAGATATTTATTTACAAATTAATTATTTACGTAAACTTTGACGAAAGTCCTTAAAATATTCAATAAAAATTTTTGGAATAATTGCAGTAACATGACTTGATATTAGAAGATATATATCT